TACATACATACATACATACATACATACATACATACATACATACATACATACATACATACATACATACATACATACATACATACATACATACATACATACATACATACATACATACATACATACATACATACATACATACATACATACATACATACATACATACATACATACATACATACATACATACATACATACATACATACATACATACATACATACATACATACATACATACATACATACATACATACATACATACATACATACATACATACATACATACATACATACATACATACATACATACATACATACATACATACATACATACATACATACATACATACATACATACATACATACATACATACATACATACATACATACATACATACATACATACATACATACATACATACATACATACATACATACATACATACATACATACATACATACATACATACATACATACATACATACATACATACATACATTACATTACATTACATTACATTACATACATACACATACACTACATTACATTACATTACATTACATTACATTACATTACATTACATTACATTACACACATACATACATACATTACATACATTACATACATACATACATACATTACATTACATTACATTACATTACATTACATTACATTACATTACATTACATACATACATACCTAGCGTGGTTTTACGTGTGCTTCGCTTCGCCAATATTGATGAATGCAAGGCCTCAAGCAAGACACACATGCAAGATCGCAACAGGCGACGGCGAAAGTTGGCACGAGTTACTCCAATGTTTGGCAGCCCTTTTTGGACCGTCCAGGAGCATCAATTTGGCTCTCCCTCTCGAATCGATTTGGACCTGTGCGCCATGCCAAAAAGTAGATAAAGGCAAGCCACCGCGGAATGCCACATTCCAACCCAGGGCACTTTGCACCCATCCAAGCAGAATGTCATGATTCACCAGCCTGACAAGCGCTTGTGGCTCACTCAGAATGATTGCGCGATTCCATAGTATCATCCAAGTCGGTGTTAGTCAACAATAGGTAAACAATGCGGTCCCCTAGTGGTAATCTTGACGCATACCCAAGCAGGAACTGCAACTCATCCACACTTCCATTCCAAGCGGCGCGAGCTTTTCCAGGAAAAGGGACTCCAGCCGGTAGAGCGCTCCGCTGCGGTATCGTATGCCTTGGCAAGACGATAAGCGAGAAAGTGAACGCTTACAAAGCACCACCCCCCAACCACTGCTTTTTGGACAGTACGTGGGATTTTGGACATGGGAAAGCAGTTGTTGGGTGCTGGAAAAGGTGCCAACGCCATTTCCCTACTTTGGATTCAAAGTAAGTTGCCTGCGCATGGGAGGTTTTGGGGCCCGCTTCGGCTTCTCCCAGGTGCAACGGCATCCTCGGGGAATACATCCAACGCAGAGTTCTTGAAGCCAGCGTGGCCAGGGTTCGCGTGCGGAAATGGCATGCGCGTACAAGGCTCTGGAGTCAATCCCATAGGTGGGATCTCCTGGGTGTTCAAAATGGAGGCTTGGCCAATCCGAATGCAATGCGTATATTGCTAAATCACAACGAAGGGGGGCCCGATCGCAACTCTAGGACTCTAGGTAAGGATGAAGGATTGCCAATCCGAATCCACGATTCCTAGATAGGGAAACCTGTTCTATCTGGCATAAGCATCTCCAGATTGCTTTTGAATAACTCAGCTGCACATATGTTTATAAAAATATATATGTGTATATCCACTCTAAACATCACCCTTCCCAAGCATATGGCTCCCACCATCGGGCGAATGCACGCGTTTCGACAGGTGTGAGGCCTTTTCTGTTGCGCGCCTGCGACTTCCAGGAGGCACTCTTCAAAGTCTGCGTTCCAGGGGTGGATATCTTCCCAGACCTCAGCTGCCGACTCCAAGATGGTTTCCCCACTATATATCTACCCCACAAAACTTACAGTAAACAACATCTCATATAGATTCAAGAGACACATGGCTTCTTGTTTGATAAGTTCCCGACCTCAAGAAACAAGAAAAAGGCACGACTAGTCTGTAGTCTCATGCAAACCTAAGCCTCAAACAATTGCAAACAGGTACCAGCAACCCCCAGCCACTGCTTTTTGGACAGCACTTGCTGGGAAAAAGCAGTTGGTGGGTGCTGGTAAGATTCAAACCAAACCAAACATGTAAGATGTCGCCAAAAGCTGACTCTGATTCCCAGAATTGGAGTCTGGGCCTCGAGCTTTTGAAGCCACGAGCATTCCAGCTGTCACCAGCGATCTCCAGTTGCCCACGGTCAACACTGTGTCGGTCTGCCAGGAGTCGCACCAAATGATATTTCCCTAAGGATGCCAAAGAAATCCTGTGGAGACCTCTGAGTTGGAAATTTATTCAACACTTGTCCTGGGACCGCCGAAAAATGCAAATCTGAAGTTGCCCAAACGACCACCTCTACAATTCACTAGCTTGTCCTGCCCGAACCAAATGGCCCAAAGCCGTGAAAGAACTCCGCGCCCGCTGGAGCAGCCGCTCGATGTAAATGGCGCAAAGGACTACCACCTGCGGCGAGGGAATGGGCGAGCGGAAGATCCGAACTTCATTCATCCCTTTTCTCCGTGAGAGGAATGTAACGCATATATGAGTATCTATCACCCAAATTCCCGAACTTTGGAGTCATGTGTCAAACCAGCCGGGGGTCCTTCCAAATGGTTTCAGCTTGGTTTCCTTTGGACAAAAATCGGCCTTGACACAGGGAGATGTGGGCAAATGCGGCGTGTCAACCTGGGATCAATCATGGCTGTTTAGTCAACGAGAAACAAATTAAATGCCATCCCTATCAACAGTCCAAGGCTTACAAACACAAGGGTCATCTATCTGAGTAACGTTACCTGACTGAATTGTCTAAAGGACACAATCTCAACTTTCAAAGTGCTGGAAACGCAGTGGCTCTCGGTACGTGCTCCTGAAAGTGGCTGTGTGCACGGCGTCACTCGCAAAGGTGCCTGCTTGCAAAAGTAGAGCGAGTCTGAAAGCTTGTTCAAGAAGTCCAGAATTGCTTCTTTTGACCTTGTACACTTGGCACACATACACTCAAAAAGCATGACACACACACACACACACATTCTTAACCACGCGGATTCTCGAGAACATGCTCAGTTTGTCGTGGTCGAGGTTGCTTGGCCCGGCAATCATATCTAACTGCCATGACACCTACAGTCGCATGTTTTCCATCAAGCATCAGCTCGTGCGTGGTGCATGGATGAGCTGAAAAGGCAGGAGACATCCCAAGAAATGTCTATTGAGTTTCTCAAAGCCAGCGATTCCCTCCCATTGGTGGTTTGGATTGGTTTGGCTGAGGAGCCGGGGTCCCATTTACCCTCAAGAACCAGGGCTTCAAACCTAAATCACCATGCTCCAAACCACCAACTAAGGGTTACCTTGTGGGGAAACCCCTTCGAACCAAAAGACTCATCTTGTCCCATAGCTGAGGCCCGTGCGGGCTTGGCACCCTACGGGGAAAGGGCAAGCAAGGAAAACAAGAGCACCGGCGGCGTAAGAAGCGGTCCTCGAGCAGAAGTTGAAAATGAAAGCATGGTGACAGCCATCCCGCATAGGGAGGCTTTCCCCAAAAACCAGAAACGAAGGTAAAGCTGGGCTCTAACAGACCTCACTTGCGCTTCCAGCCTTTGAAGTTATGTTGGTATCGTGCAACGTACAAACTGTAAAACCGCAAACAGACTGCCAACCAATAGGGACACACGAGGTCTGCAGCTGAGCAACAGCACAGCCAAACATGTCAAGACAGACTGCCATCCTATGACAGAATCTAAGCAGGTCTGTCGGCCGAATCCTCGTGGAACTCGTCGCCCTCTTTTGCCTGTCATGACTATTCTGTGCAGCGTGAAAGGCTGCCAATGCAAGACTCAATCATGCGTTGGCTGGAAATCGGATGAACACTGCGGACCCACAAAACAAGGTAAGAATGATGTTGGGGAAATCTACACAAGTTGTCACTTTCGCAATGTGATGGATGAGTCCTGAAGAGTGTGAGCTAGCATGCTGTCTGGCAAAGGTCGGACTAGCAATCCAATTTCGAGAATAATGTTAATTTCAACTTCGGAGTAACCTGAAGAACCCTACTAGTCAGAGGACCCTCTAAAATCATTGCCCTAAGCGAACCACCCACTTCTGTTAAGTATGGTCCGGACTAATCCGAAGTTCACATCACCCATCACATCTATCGGCTGTTGGCACTCCAGCGGATTTTCTGTGGACCAGTAGCATCCGCGCAAAGGGTAAGCCTATGGAGCAGGATTGCAGACAAGGCGACCAGCATGCAGACAACAGAACACGGAATCTTGTCGTGGGGTAGAAGCACCCCTCAAAAGGAAACATATATATATATATACAATTCTAAGCAGCTGGCACGGGGACAAGAATGCTGGCTGCACATATATATGGCTGGTTCTCAAAATGTTGGTTCCCAGTTCTTGTAGCGTAAGTCGCCATTCCATGAGGGCCCGTATCATTCGGGCCATATGAACACGCAACCATTGCGGCACAACAGGTTTGACTAAGAAACGTACAAGCAAACTGACAGGCTCGCTAGCGCGGCGGACCTTAGCTGCTGTCGGACAAGCTATCCGAGCTTGTGGAGCTGCTGCTTTAGGACATTTAACGCACAAGAAATCCCAATGTTCTACACCACATCTTCAGCAAGTAACGCAACGGAATTGGTTCATACTACGGGTATATAGTTTTACTTGACCTGACTTACAGCTACAGCGTGGAAACGTGCAAGTTGCTTCTTGGGTGTTGCCTCCGGCAAGGCACTTGCCCCAGTTCAAGTTGGCTAGCGCGATGCTAGCGCGGAGCTAGCGAGAAAAACTGCCTATGTTTTCAGATTTTTCGCAGGGTCACGTGTCGCAAGGTCAGGTACAGATTTTGTGACAGGCGCAATGCTTTCGGAAGGGCAGACATGGCAGGCGCACTTTCGCAAAACACACGCGCAGATTTCGTGGCAAACGCAGCACTTTCGCCTGCGAGCAAGGAATGCCTCGAGCCCTGAGAGCGACCGGACAGAAGGGCCACGCATTCGCATCTCACACGCCACGTCATCTAACGTTCCCGACCTAGCGCCGATCTAGCGTGAAGCAGGCGCTGCCAGTCGGATTTGCGTGATTTAGGTGGGGGCCCGCTTCATTTCGTAAAGGAAAAACAAGATGCAACAGGAATTGTGCACATGCTGCATATGGCTCCTTAGCCGGCCTTATTGAACGAAAGCCACACATATAATTGTACATATGACTCATATGACGGTTGTCTGAACTGAACTTCCTTGCTCAGGGAATCGCCAAACCCGCGAACAAAGAACTAACTTTCGCGAGCCCCATCGCGGAACTTTCGCGGGGCTGTTTGCACAACGTTCATCACAAAAGTGGTGCGCAAAGTAGACTTCCGCAGCCCGAGCTCGAAAGGCGCGACCTTTCAGTTCCAAAGTAGCACACGGAACGCGCTTCCGCAGATCCAGCTCACAAGGCGTGCAGCAGCAAGCGGGGGGACCCCTTGGCCTCCCATGTCCGGAGACGGCGGGGAGGTCCATCGACTTTCGCGCAACTTTCGCGGATCTTACGCCAAACATTCGCGAAACTCCGGCCGGAAAGCTGCACACAACTTGATCCGAAAGTTTCAAAACTCCCACACGCTGATTTCTGCTGGGCAACCCTCAGGCCGCGCTTTCCGCGACCAGCTTTAGTTTGTGTGCATTCTGTGCGCACTGCCGGCAAAGACATATGGTTCATCATTCCAGCTTCCTGTTGAAAGGCCACCCCTGACACAAATCTTCGCGAGAAAACATTGATTTTCGCGACGGGGTCGCGAAACTTTCGCGGAGGTCCCTGCTAAGGCCAAAAGGTCTTCCCCTTCATACGCTTCATATATCCATACAAGGACCTTTCGGACGACTCTCATACTATATATAATATGTACATAATATGCGCTTTATATACATCTACAAACATGTGTACCACATATCCACCCTAATTAGGTGCAGCAGCCCAGACTCTAAGCTCGCACCTGGTTCTTCCTCTTGCCCTCTTCCACGTAGCGGCACAAAAGGTCGGCCACCTGCACGGCGGCGCGGAGGCAATATTCTTGGTCGATTTGTTCAGCATATAATTTCCTAAGACCAAGGACACCACACTGTGAATCATTTGTTGGGATTTATGAATGGATTCCCATTACCATCATTGGCCATGAGCAGCCGCTTCAGATGGTGCGCTCGGCAAGAACACTGCCTGAAACAGCGGCCATGCTGCGCATTCATTGTGCTGACTGACATTGGTCAACTCAACAGTCGATAAATCGCAGGATCAGGGTGTCTTTGTTGAGGGTACCCTTTCTTGGGTCAGTTCCAAAGGAAACCAACCATTTTGGGACATCCCCTATTTTGAGACAAACCCATAGATTCCTTCTGCGAAAGCAGGTGGCACGCCGCACAGTTGACACGAAGACGGCACAATCTATGCCTGCGCGCTGATGGCATGTGTGGTCTGCTCTTCGCTGAGTAGTCGAGGGTCCACATCTGGTTCAAAAGTAGGCCTCATGCGGAGGCAAACCAAAGCGCATTCTTCATATGATTCATGATCACCCCTGTTTTCAAAGGGGTCTACTCAACAACAGGCAACAATTGAAACAGGTGGCTGCACCCATTTTGGGTTGGGACCATCCCCTCTCAAACTGCATCTAGCCATGCGTTTGATTCTCTGAACCTTGGGCTGGGTATCTCTCCCCAATCGCGAGCCTGCATGCAAGCTCAGACAAATTTTACGAAGGAGTGATATCATTGCCCAACACCCAAGAAGCCAAGCAGTGTAGTACATCAACAAAAAGCCATACACCATGCTTGATGCTTCTCCGGGGAGCAACATATGCAGCATGCGTCATACAGTTGCTTGTTAAATGCTGCGTCTGATGCTCCCAATCATTACTAAACACTGTACCAACACCTCATACCATAGAAACATGCCACTTCAAGTTGCAGTGCTTTGTCAACCCGAAGTTGCATCGGACATCTGACACATTGACTATTGGCACTTCGGTGGTGTATCTGTTTTGGGTAATTACCTGGGTGTTGAAGGAAACCCAAAGGAGAGCTCCCAGTTTGGGCGCCCTTTTAGAACGGTAAGCCACTATTCCAATATGCCCTTCAGCTTATCCCATTCACCAGTGGGCAAGCCGAATCGAAAGCACGAAATGGCGTTCAATTGGTCACAACTCCATGTTCACTTGGCTGTGCCAAAAGCAACAGCCAGGTGCACGTCCTTTCATTATTCTCATTCTAAAGCGCGGCACATTCATAGAACGACATGGACCCTCCTGTTGAGGTGACTTGAAAATGACAAAGCAAATGCCTTGGAATGGATGCTCCTGAGATGCCGCAGATAGGCAATTCGACATGGCTCGTCTCGCACGGAGAGATATGTACACAGTGCTGGCATTCATGGGACATGTACCACAAATCCCGCTGGAATGCTGGCCAGTTCCAGAAATTCATCAATAGCCTTCAACGTGTCATTGGCGCATGTTGGCTAAAGCTCGGGGATTTGCTTTGAGACTTCATGAACCCCCCTATTAACAAATATATGTCCTTAAACCTTCTGCAAAAGGACAAACTGAAGTAAAAACACAACGGCATGTGGGATCCCACCTCGAACTTGAACTCGTCGAGCTGATCTCAGCCCCGATGAAGTCTTTTGTCTTTCGTGGCTTTCCAGCCTACGCCGAATCAAAGCAACTTGCCTTTGCCCTGTTCGAATTTGACAAGCTGCTCTCAAACTTCCTTAAGACTGCAGGCTATCACCACGTAATCAAATCACTTGGTGGAAAATAAAGCCCGCCTCTCCATTGCAAAATCTTACCCCCGTGGGACGGTGCAACGTCCTTTGACCATTCCGCTGCAAGCTCCAACTAATTCTGATTCATTGTGCTAACATGAATAACCTCCATGCGGGATGTGAATCCCCGAGCCACAAGAACTCACCGCCACCCATTCGCAGGTGTCAGAACCCTCCCGGATTCCGATGCAAGGCCTTGAAGCTTGCCGGCGCCGAAACTGTGCTGCTGGGTGTTCCTGGAATCCAAAGGTCGAGTCCCTTGGTGTTTTGGGTTTGTTTGGAGGCTACAGCTGCGTTTTCATTCAGCTTTGACAACTAGTTCAAACTAAACGACCCAAACAAACCGCCAAACAAGGGCAACCAAGACTCTTTCCGACGAGGACTTCGAAGCAACCCTGAATGAGCTCTTGAAAATTGATCTCGCGCTCATTAAGAGCCTCTAAACTTCTGCAAGGCCAATCCCATAAGCAAGCAAGCAAACACCCAAGCAAACAAACAAACACCCAAACAACAAGGAAACTAACAAACAAACAAACAAACAAACAAACAAACAAACAAACAAACAAACAAACAAACACACAAGCAAGCAAACAAACAAACAAACAAACAAACAAACAATATCACCACGCACCTATAGCCATCCTTTTTGTGGTCGTCACATCTATCTGCCAAGGTGGAAAAACATGGACCAAAAAGGCCCTGTGGTTTCCGCGCCAACCTTCTTTCTATTTTCTGGTGCTTCAGTTTGCAGCTGATGCCGCAAATTCCCGCCAACTTTAATAAGCTAAGACTTTATCACACAAGTGAGGTCTTCGGTGATGCTTCGGGAGCTGGATGAATGGATGCTCACCAACGGTGGGATAGACATGTAGCTACCAGTTACATTACGTTGCATGCTTGAGTTGGTTCACAAGCACTCTTTGGAAAAAAATGGCAGTGCAAGGGTCAGGCGCCAAATCAGCCTGACTGCTTGGACGAACGGTCGAGATGTTTTTGAATTAGGTTCCCAGCATTGTTTTCCATCAGGGCATTTACTCAATGCCTCGACATAAGGGCGTGTCACAAAATGGTGAACCATTTGTGGCTGTGCAAAAAGAACCCACAAGAACATATAGGCTATTACTCGGGTCCCCTATTGCGAGATTCCCCCATAAGATTAGCTTTTGTTGATGACCCAACCACGACACATGATGACACCTAGGTGTCGTTTTGAGTTCGGTACCTTTTCCGTGTTGTTTTGAAACGGAAACTGAAGGGAAATGGCCTTGCATCTCGCAGGTCTGCTGACTTTGATACATAACCCCACATTAGCCACGATCAAAAGATGCGACTACCCTAAAGGACATGGGCAAATTGGGGCATTCCCTGGTCAAAGTGGACCATATCGGCAAATTTTCACATGGAACTTCACTCGGCCATGGCTAGCAGCTCATTTGAAACAAAATCTCCGCATCTCTGGCCTCCGGGTCCGCGAAAGGCCTGGCGCGCTGAGGCGTGTGTCAAGCGTCCGTATGACTTCCCTATGCAGTTTCGTCTTTGCTCCTTTCATTTGGATTTTTGCTCAACCAAGTTGCTTGCGATTCTCATACATGCCAAGGCAGGGTTTGCAGAAAGGCTATGAAACAAACCGCGCAACCCACAAATGAGAGTTTCTATGCAAAGATGCACCCCAGAGCTCTGGTGTGCCAGCTAGTGTCCAACCCCACACTGGCCCACTGCTAGCGGCTGAGTTTTTTTAAGGGGGCTGTACAACAACTACACGAGATCTTGCTGTGCCCTACTGAAGGGTATTACTACGAAAGCCTGTCACTCAGATCATTACATGCGCCGGGTAAAACTAAGACCGTTGCCTACAGCGTGTTGTGAATGATCCGTTGGCAGCTTGCCCTGCAGGCACATAGGTCCAAGGCAGCCAACACCCGCATGTGCTGACATGCTGCTCGGTGAAAGAGGTTGACAGATTGACAAAACTCTGTGTTAACATGGAAAAAACATCATACTTGAAGCATGGCGAATTCCTACATCCAACACGTGACCTCCTGCGATGCGTGTTCATTTGAACAGTCTTCAAACCTATCTGACGGGTGTTGCAACACAATGGCTCTTTGCCGATCTTCCTAATGGCTGGAACAAACAAAACATGTGGTATGATTCAGAATAGGTGGATCTGACAAATGGTGTTTGTCCTAGTGGTTCACCTGGCCGTCTCCTGGCCTCCTGAGATCTGCTCGGAAGCAAGGGCTCTTTCAGCCTGCGCAACAGGATGCCTTCAGTCCTCCCCTTCACCACTTGCTCTCACAAGAAAAAAACAAACATCACGACACTATAAATTGGTACAGTGGACCCTCTAGGGGCTGCGTATTGGGTGTCTTTTTGTGCCAGGCGGCTGGTCCGGGCTCAACCCTCTCGATGTCTTGGCCCCCATTGCTAGAGGCAAGCGTTGGCAAGTCTCCGGTGACCAAGGCTCTCGAGAAAACCCCAAATATCCCACATGGATCTGCGATGCAGGTCATGCTCAATTGATCCCTCTCCACTCCAGATGAAAAATAATGATTGGTGAAATCTCATCTCGAGTCGATTCATGAAGCGGAAGCCAGGATCTAACCACTGGCTGAAAGCGATTGCCGAGCAGAAAGGCGCGCAGTCCGGCGATTGGCGGCGGGCACCCCGTGACTTGTTCGCTTGCCATGCGCCAGGGTTGCTGTCAAAAAGGACATAGTTGCAAGACCCCAAGGCAAATACGGAAGAAACCACGCCAGCAGCAGGCGCAGCAGAAGACTAAGGACCCCTGGCACACCTCCAAACCACTTGCGGCCACTTTGTGATTGATTGGTGCACTTCCAGCTGTCCTGGTGCATATGTGATGCTTTGGGCCGCATGGGTTGAACATGGTTGAGCATGGGGCACTTCACAAATCCACGACAGTGATATGCATCTACTACATCAACTTGACAGTGTTGATGCCCATTAGCTTCAAAGGCACGGGACATGACAAAGCCTCAAACAGGCAAATTAAACCTCAACCCTACCAGGACCGACGTTCATCCTCCTTCATTCAAACGGAGATGGATCCTCAGAGTCCAAAACCTCACGGAAGAAAAGGACGCCTTTCTCTCAAGCAGTGCCTGGAATGCCCAGTGCCGAAGGGTGGCCTGCAGTGGTCCCCGAAAAAATGAGGACTCAGCGGCAAGCGCACCTCAGCGCTGATGAATTTAGTGCAATGTGAGACCCCCACTGCGATTGATTTGCCAAAACTGGTCTTTCTGGCGTGAGTTTTCTGTTGAAGGCACAAACAGCGTTCAAGTGTTCATCCCAAGTGAGGGGTCTGGGCTCGGGATCATGTGCGCTGTGAGACGGTACAATCGGCATTGGTAGCACGAATGTCGAGTAAAAAGTAGGGCTGGTGTGGCCACCATCATCCCCGCAAGAGCGCAGACCTGCCAAATCGACGCGCCACCATGGCGAGACCGGATCCTAGCCGCTTTTTTTTAAAGCAGAACCACAACGCTTCTTGAAGAAGACTGGCTTTTTTGAATCGATGGCACGAGGCGCCTAAGTTTTCTGTACAACTGGACGGGCAAGCAAAGTTTCCCTCAACACCTTCAGCAGGATTGCTATTCCGCTTTGACGCAACGTCTACAAGCAACACATCTGCAAGCATCCAAAGCACCCTCATGCCTCCTGGATTTCGAAACCAATATCCAAGGTTTGATGACCACCTCATGCGCAAAGCGAAGGTTGCTTGCGCTTGTAGCATCTCGGCTGTTTTGCTCCGTGCCGGGAAATGCCGCTTGCTTCAGTTGCTGTCACTCAGCAAAACGACACATAGCAAGGAAACTCAGGAGCTGTAAGGGCATAAATAACTGGAATGGGGTTGCGGAGTAGATTGAAATCAAATTACATCATGGAAGAACCGCGAAGCAATTTGAGCCTAAAAAATACCCATGTTGTGGTTCTCGAGAATCCCAAAGCCTCAGCGGTCCAACATTTCTCCGCGTCGCTGCCTCCACCTCACCGTCGGTGCGTCGAGACCTCCAGAATCTTCCCATGGAACACGGGACTGTGTGTAAGATCTCCCTGTCTCGTTCCCTTGAGGGTTAGGACCCCCATTTTATTGAAACAAAACGGGGGGGGGGGCAAACCTTTTTTCCAAAAATAAAATTGGGGCGCTAACCCTCACAAAAGTTACCGAGTAGGGGACCCGCAAGAAGAAAAGGTTAGCCCCTCGGCAAAAAAAAAAATGGCGTCGGGAAAGAGGTCGCAAACTGAAATGGCCAAGGGGCTAACCCCAACAAGCCTTACTCTCAGATTCACAGTACTTAATGTTAGCATTGCCCATTCTATATTTACGGCCAGCCCCTGAGGTTTGCAAAAACCCTAAACATAAACCCTAAAAACCCTACACCTAAACCCTAAAAACCCTAAACCTCAACACTAAAAACCAGAAACCTAAACCCTAAAAACCCTAAACCTCAACCTTAAAACCCTAAACCTAACCCTAAACCTACACCCTAAAAACCCTAAAAACCCTAAACCTAAACCCTAAAGCGCTAAACCTAAACCTTAAAAAAACCCAGACCTGCCGCCCTCGTGGTACTACGGCCCCACGTTCTGAAGAGAACGCAGGTCACCACGTGTCAGGTATGGCTGCGCGAGTTCTGCTACTTGACTAGTAAAGCGAGTCACCTTGGGCATGGGCAGGACAAGGGATTAGGGGGTGCCGGCAAACCACGGGGGCTGTGGGTATATTTAGTAGTGCCAAGACTTACTCTCAGACTCCCAGTGCCTAATTTAGAATTGCCAGTTCTAGATTGAATAGATTGGGTGATAGTGGCTCGCACTTCCAGCCGGAATTGCAGGGTGCTTGGCCGTTTTCTGAACAGATTTCTCCCTGAAACGAGCAGGGTTGTGACAGCTGCGTGCTAAGAGAGCTTCAGCGTCGTAGTGCGTAGCAGGACGTTGACCCAGAAATTGTTTAATCTGCTTGCGCACTGCCCCAATACCATGTCCACCATGTCCTAGTGAGCTTCATGTCCTGATCATGGAGCAACACCGCGTGACTTGGCCTGCAACACACCTCAACCACCATTACCTGTCTGCGTTGCTTGGAGCAGTCGAAAAAGGATCGCTTTGCGTTGTCCGCATACAGGGGAACAATGACCGCTGAATACATTGCCTCATTCTAAGCAACAACATTTGTCTGCATAAATATTGACGCGGAAAAACGTGTACCATTCGATTTATTCCGTTTGGCTAGTTCTTTGTGGGTCCAATCCACGTTCTAGCAGAGAGGAAGCCTTGGAGCTCTGGTCTCTGGATCATTTATTGTTTATGAACTGCCTGGTCGAAGTATGAAGGTGTTCCAAGTTCGAAGCGTACTGGAAACGGCTAAGGCAAGGCGCAGAGCACATTGTGTCTGCTGCTAGATGGCTACCAGAAGAATGTGGAAAGGAGGCCAGGGCAACCAAACAAGGAAATGGGTAGCTCCAAATTTGGCAAGCCCTTAACCTGTTTGATTTTCGGTTGGATTTCCTTTTTGCACGGAATGAGAACGGCCGACCTGTACGCAATTCTTCGGGTTTGAGTTGGCTTCAAATTGGATCAAAGCGGGCTTAGCATCGCTTTAGTATTGCTTTAGTATTTGGTGCTAAAGGGCCCCCCAATACGACTGAAGTTGGGGGTGGCGGGAAACTTGCTGGTGAATAATTTTGGAATTCAGTATTGGGCATGTTTCGTCATAGGGTGCATTTAGCAAGGCTCCGGTGTTTTTGTTGAAATCACATACTTTGAAATCACGCCTGGGGGGTCCCAGTGTTTGTTTTGCCGAGGAATCCTTTTTTATCACGTCCGGGGGGTCTCGGTGTCTTTTCTTGCAAGGTCCCGATGCCTTTTTGTTTGAAAAATTACGCCTGGGGATCACGGTGCTTGTTTTGTTCGAATTCACGCTTCCGGGCCCTGGAGTCCCACTTGGGGGCTCCGGTGTTTGTTTTTTTGAAATCACGCCCAGGCGAGATGAGGAATTTAAAAATAAACACGGCTGTAGCAAATTCACAAAGAAAAAACACCGGTTCCGGGATGCATCTCGCAATAGAGGGACTTGAAGATCATTTTTAGACACCTCCGAATCTATGTGTTTGTTGCTTTTAGGGTGGGATTAAAGGCAACAAACACCCACATTTTGGGGATTTTAACACGAACCCAGATCCCCAGCCAGCGATTCATGAATGATCTAGGAATGGAGATGCTCACGTTTCTATCAAAATAGCCGAGCCTCAAAACTGGTTGTGTTCCTTTTGGCCTCCCTTTGAACCATCCCAAACAGGGGACCCTCAAAAGACAACCCAAACGGAGATATTATAAAAGACTTTGTGTTCACCAGCCCAAAAGGGAACAGCGAGGGAAGCGACTAAAACCTGCGTAGCGCACTTTCATTTTCAGCCACAAACCCAAACTGACACCAAAATGACACCAAAACTGACACCAAACTGACACCAAAACTGTTATTTCAACGGCCAACCTGACACCAAAACCCAGCCGTTGCCTCAGCCCCCCAACCCCAAAACCCGCGTCGCCTGCTGCAGGAGCTGCGCCGCCTCCGCCTTCTCCGAGCTGCTCAGAGGAGACTGGGCAGAGGAGACCTGCCCAGAAACCCGCGAACCAAAGCCGTTTTTGATTCTCCCAAAAAAGGCATCCTAATCATTCAAAGCCCCAACCCTAGCTTTTTGCAGGACTCTTTCTACGCGCCGCCAGCTGAGCCCCGAACTTTCTGCAAGGCGGCGACGAGATCTTCCACTTGCGAAGCGGTGAAGTGAATGCCCTGGTTGAGGGCCTGGAGCCGCAAAGGCGTTGAATCTCCCCAAGCTGAAGGAGTTTGAGAACCAGCCCAGGTATCCTGACAGCCTCGGAACCACCTGAACCCTCTGAAGCCCTTCCTGAAAGCTGCTCCGAACCACTCCGGAGACTATCTGCGAGTCCCGCTAGCTTTCGGCTCAACACCCGGGGCAACTGATGAGCTTCTCTCAGCCACTGCAAGGTCAGTCCTCTTTCGAACAAACTGACCAATCTGAAATGCACTTCAGACAGCCAGAAGTCAGATGCCCAGTGGCCATGAGAAGTAAAGGGCACTCTTTTTTGAACAAAACAAGGAAAAACGGGCACCACTGGACAACAAAGAGAAAGTGCCAAATGCTTCGGACATGGTGAACCACATTTGCTGGCAAGCCTCTGCTTAGATGTCGTCACTACACGTTGTTACCGCTGCCCAACAACCATACGAGAAAGCGGATAACAACTCATTGGTGCATGTGAAACAATTACCAGCGTAAGCTTCAAGCCAGCAATCATAAAACCCTCAACACTGTCTTGGAAGGCTTTCCGTCTGATTTTCCATTTGTTCCTGTAAGATCCGTGAGGGACCATGTAACTACTTTGTCAGGTAAGGTCCCCCTCTGCTTGCTGTTTGCCAAAGACATGGGGCGTCATTTTGGGGATCCCTGTTTGAAGCCCAGAACCCTGCAACTGAGGCTTTTTGAAGTTAAGGATACCCCAAACCGCCGAGTTGATTTTCGCAGGTTGGTGACAGATCCATTCCCCAGGACAGAGTTCCTGAAATGTCCCTTCCACAAAAGGCAACTCTCCCGGCAAATGGGCGATGTTTGGGACCACCCTTTAAGGCGAAACACGTGTTTGTCTCAAAATCCCAAATAAGTGCTGTTTCAACACCCCGCCCAACACGTTTTTCACTGTAAACAAGGCAAGCTGAATAGGGCATCTTCAAAAACCACGCAGCTGGATGGACGAAATCCTGCATCAGTTGGGATGAATGAAACCCTCCGAACACTGAATACTTTGATAAACCACAAATCCCAACGGATTTTGTCCATCCACAGTATTGCCCCCAACCTTGCAAACGCGGTTCCACCGCGATTTTTCACTTCCCGAATTTCTGCGCCAAAGTTCGTTGGTAGGAAACATCACGACCCAGGGAAGAAGGGGTAGCTCTCCTCACGTCCTCAGTGAATTGACCAACAAAAAGTTAAACTGTTACTAACCACTGCAAACACCAAAGTAACTCGCGTCCAAAATACGGTTGGACGTCTTGGTCTCTCATACCGCTCCTGCCACAGCCAAGAGAAGATCTGCTCAATGCTGCCCGCCGCGGGCTCCTGCGGGAGTCTTGTTTTTTCTTGAGGGCGCCCTTTTCTCCTTGAACAAACGGGAAATCCAGAAAAAGACCACAACTTTGGGGGGCCATGGGGGGCCCGTCGTTTGACACAATTGAAATACCCATGTTGCTGGCCCCGTTATCAAAGGCAACAGATTTCATCAAAACTTACTCCCTCCAATCTAAGTTCCCAAGTCTACTACCATTCTCATGTTCAGTGACTCACTCACCTGTTCAAACTAGATGCAAATTCTGAGAAACCTCCCCTAAAGCACTTGCATCCCAAAGCTCCTTGGCCGGAGACGAGAGGATGTGGATCAATCTCCGAATCCTGCGACACGGCGATCTGGCCCGAGCTGTGGCTAGCCATGCTTCAGTGAAATATATCAGCGGTCCAACTCGCATGGGCACAGTGGAGAGTCCCCTGGTTTTTGTGGGAAACTTAGAGAGTGGCCTGCCCCCCAAATGATTTGAGTGAAGCACAAATTGGATCATGTTTGCGGGCGACCCCAGCAGCTAAGTCGTGGGCAAGCGAGAGTTGCTCTCAGCATCGAGCCGGTCCACAATGGGACCTGGGCAAAGTCATGGAGCATAGTTTAGCGAAGTAGTCCACCACCGGCGCTGCTTCTTTTTGCTATGTCCCCTGCATTCGCTTTTTTCCGGCTCATGTTTTGCCAACACAAGGTTTCTTTAGCCAGCCGATGGATGCCCCTTAGCCGGTGAGCTTGGGATGGGAGAGTCAGAATGGGGTGGGCTCAGGTCTGGTGCAGGTTGGTCGAATTTAGGTGTGGTTGGGGAGGATGTAAGGTGGCTTGGCGCAAAATTAAGACGGATTAAGAGTTGGCTTGGGTGGGTTTAGGGTGGGATGGGTTGTTTTAGGGGTGGCTTAGGATGGCTTGTGGTTAGGGTTGTTTGTTGTTGATTTTGGGTTGGTCTAGGATTGGTTTAGGTTAAGTCTTGGGGTTGGTTTAGAATGATTTAGGCTTTTGTTTGGTCGCTCAAGACTCATTTTATGGGGAATGTAGTTGTCACAGAAAGTCACGTGCTAAAACTAGCTGTTTCCACAACCATACTATATTGATTACCCCCAGTAGCTGTCCAGGCAACAGGGTCCAGCCCTACCTTCCACACTTCAAGGACTCCATTCAACAACTCCCCCAAATCCCGAGAACAAGAACGGTGGGTGGACAGAATGCGGGGGGATCAAGTTTCCACAACAAGTTCAGCGGCTAAGCTCTAGGCCTGTGTGCTTCATGAGGCGGAGCAAGCAAGTCTCCTCCGGCTCGGCGATGACCTAGCTGCATGGTGGGGATGCATGTGGGTGCGTCTGAGATTCGTGGAACATAGGGGAACCCCAAACAAGCGGTGGCTGCCTTTTTTTGGTTTAGCTTTAAAATAACCCTAAAACGCCTAGCTTC